GAAGTGTCTGGTGCTAGTAACAGTACCGCTGAGTCTCTGAATTATCTTAAAGATGTTAATTGAAATCTGAATTATCACTTTTCCAATATTACTGAATAAGCTTCCCTCTACTAACCTTAACCCCTTTAAAAGTAACTGTAATCATTTTCACTATGTTAACACTACCAATCTATGAGCACTGGAGATCTTTCCATCTTCTGATGTCTTCTTAAATTTCTTTCTTTAGAGACTTGAAGTTTTTTTCATATAGGTCTTTCACTTACTTGGCTAGTGTCACACTAAGATACTTTAGGTTATGTGTGGCTATTGTAAAGAGTGTTGTTTCCCTAATTTCTTTCTCAGCCCTTTTGTCTTTTGTATACAGGAAAGCTACTAATTATTTTTTCCCCCTTAGTTAATTTTGTATCTAACAACTTAGTTGAAGGCATGTATCAGCTGAAGGAGTTCTCTGGGAGAATTTTGGGGGTTATTCATATATACTATCATATCATTATATCTTGCAGATCATGATACTTTGACTTCTTCCTTTCCAATTTGTATCCCCGTGATCTCCTTTCATTGTCTTATTGCTGTACCTAGGACTTCAAGTACTATGTTGAAGAGATATGGAGAGAATGGGCAGCCTTGCCTTGTCCCTGATTTCAGTGGGATTGATTTACGTTTCTCTCTGTTTAGTTTGATGTTGGCTATAGGCTTGCTGTGTATTGCCTTTACTGTTTAGGTATGTGCCTTGGATCCCTAATCTCCAAAACTTTGCAGACAAATGGGTGGGAACTTGAAATGATCATCTTGAGTGAGGGAACCCAGAAACAGAAAGGCACATATAGTATATACTCACACATAAATGATTATTAGACATATAATATTGGATAAATATCCTAAAATCTATATTCCTACAGAAGCTAAACAATAAGGAAGATCCTAGGGAAGATGCTCAATCCTCATTCAGAAGGGCAAATGCAATAGACATCGGAAGCAAGAAAAGACAGAGAACAGGACAGGAGCCTACCACAGTGGGCCTCTGAAAGACTCTTACTGATGGAAGTATCGAAGCAGAGGCTGAGACTTACAGTCAAACTTTGGGAAGAATGCATGGAATTTTTATGAAAGAAGAGGAAGATAGAAAGACCTGGAGGGGACAGGAACTCCAAAAGGAGACCAGCAGATCCAATAATAATAATAATAATAATAATAATAATAATAATAATAATAATAAACTGAGCCCTGGTGGTCCTAAAGATGATACTCCAACCAAGGACCATGCATGGAGAGGACCTAAACCCCCAGCTCAGATGTAGCCTTAGTCTCCAAGTAAGTTCCCTAAAAAGGGGAGCAGGGGCTGTTTCTGCCATGAACTCAGTGGCAGGCTCTCTGATCACTTCCCCCTGGTTGTGGGTTGCAGCCTTGCCAGACCACAGAGGAAGACAATGCAGCTAGTCCTGATGATACCTGATGATAGGCTAGGGTCAGATAGAAGGAGAGGAGGATCTCTCCTATCAGTGGACTAGGGCAGAGTGTCATAGGGGTAGAAGAGGGTAGGAGGATGGGATTGGAGGAGAAGAGGGATTGGGAGGGGGCCACAGTCAGGGTACAGATTGAATAAATTGTAATAAATTATAATAATAATAAAAAGAAAAAGTAACTATAATCAAAGTATGTCTAAAGAACTAGATTCGATGATGTTTCCAGTACTTCCTGCTATTTAATATGAAATATTCTTCCTGACAGAGTAATCATGGTTAAGTTCTCTGCTCACTCTTTTATGCTTGTTTGAAGACTTCTTTCTCAGGAAAGCATCATCTCAGGAGCATTTGGTTTTATGTTCTAGATATCTCCATAGTATGTTTCCTTCATTGTTTAAATAAATATTTGGGTGCCTATTTTATACTGTGTATTATTCTATCCTCTGGATACATTAAAGAAGAGGCGATAAATGCAAAAACATTTTCCCTCAGATTTTTGTAGGATTAAAAAAAATATATACGTAATGGGGCTGGAAAGGTGGCTTGGCAGTTAAGAGCCCTTGCAGAAGACCAAGTTATCTTTCCAGCACCCACACAGTGGCTCACAATCCTGTGTAACTCCAGTTTTAGGGAACCTGACTCCTTCTGACCCTGGTACTCACCTGGTACATATTCATCTTGGCAAAATTTTCATACATAAAATGTTTACTAAAATGTAAAAATTAAAAGGTAAGTAAGTAAAAGATCTTTTATCATTCACATTTGCTAATAAAGCCATAATAAATAAGTAAATAATTACACAGGTGTCAGGGAAAAGAATTGTGTAAATAGGCAATGTGATATATTTAATATGTATTATATATACTCAGATATAATGGTAAATTCTAGAAAAATACAAGCTAAATTTGGACATAGTGTGTTAAGTGTTTAAATGAAGGAAGGGTTGACTTTTTAAATGAGTTTTCCAAGAGAGGCTCACAGGAAAGGTGACTTTTGTATCATTTCCTTAAGAAAATGAGATAAAGAATAAGCAAGTGCCAGCCTGGGTAGGAAGCATATACCAGAAAGGTGAAGCCATATCCACAGTGAATGGAGCACAGTGAACAATCATGAAGTCACATAGCAGGAAATGGGGAGGAGAGTATTTTGTGTGTTTCAGATACATCGTCCACCCCTGGCTTTATTTTAGCACCACAAAGAAACAAGATACTTTTGAATAGAATAGTGACCACTGGTGTAATAGAACTAGATCATTCTGACACCTTGCTGGCTGAAATCCAAGAACAGACAAGGACAGAATGTCATAGAATCATCATAGCTACTTATCATAGGATAAGTAGGGCATGAGATGGTGGTGGCTTCAGTATAGACGTTAGCAGTAGAGGTAGTGAGAAGTTTTCACTATTCAACAGATACTATTTTGAAGGTAGAATAGAAAGACTGCTGGTGGTTGAGAAGGGAGGTGTCAAGAACAATTGCAAAATTGCTTTTTATCAAATGGAAGGATAAGATGTTCCTGACCGGCTATAGAAATGTATGCTTGGAGGTACAGAATTTGGAGGACACCTCAAGAGTTCACGTGAAGGTAGATGATTGATAGACTGTAGATAGGTGATGATAGATAGATAGATAGATAGATAGATAGATAGATAGATAGATAGATAGATAGATAGACATATACATTGAGATATAAATAGGTATTTTGAAGTGTATGTTTGAAAATTTTTCAGGGGGGTTGGAGTAGAGTTGAAAATATGCCAGTCTTCATATTACAATTAATATTTGAAGAAAAATGGGAAAAAATAGTTTCTGGGAACTGAATTGTAATAATCCTGTATTTAAAAGCCAGAAAGATGAAAAGAAACTCAGGAAAAAAACAAAAGCAAGCAAAGAAAAACAACAACAACAACAACAAAAAACATGGACTAGCATCAGTAAGAAAAGTTAGAATAAAACTAGATGAGTATGTTGTCTAGAAGACAAGTTAAGAAAAAAAAATGTTTTCATAAAGTGGGAGTAGTGAACAATGTCTAACCTTACTGAGTGATATAAAAGATTAACAGAGAGAATTGGCAATGCGGAAGTCATCAGTGCCCATCAGAACTACAACTTACTTGGTCACTGCCCTGTACTGTATGTCTGCTAACAGTCTTGGCATATATTAAGTGTTAAGTGTTGAATAAATAAATAAAGACTGAAGTAACATTTACCCACAAGAATGCTACCACCAGGGTAAAAGAAGCCATAATTTTCTGCGTCCTTTCCATGCCCTCGCCAGTACCTCTGTGGTCTCTTGTAACACATCTGGTTCATCTGCATTCAGTACAAAACATTTTATGTTGGGTGAATGAATGAATGAAAATGCTCAGAAAGAATTATGCAAAACATAGTAGCGTTAATACAATTTGACCAAAGATTCTTAATGACAAATAATTGGCCCTCATCAAAATGGTCACAAGAAACATTATTGATGTTGTGTCTTTAAAATAAAGGTCAAAAATCTGATGAAATCAGCCTCGTGTTTTTAAATTGAAGTTAAGGTATAGAATTTATACTTTATTAGATTTTATTGCTTTGTACAATGCTCATTTTGTTACAATGAAGCCAAATATCCTCCAGGCTTCCTTTATACATTTACAGCATCTCTAGAAAGAATTGCCTGCTTGTCTGCTTAAGTAAGTGATGATATGAAAACCAGTGTTCATTGTTTTACTATAGTATTTATATTTTTAATGAACTATATATTTTTACTTTTAGTTTTTGATTGGCCTTTAGATTGAATACATATACTCTTGTATACAATGCCAAGACAGTATGCTCCTCATCTCATAAATTTATAATTGATAGGTGTTGAAAAGATGTTTATCTAAGTGGGTAGCATAAGTCTTTGTTTAACTGTAGCCTGTAATCATTCACAAATTATTTTAATTTTAAGGCTTGTTATTAACAGTCCAAGAACAGGAGTGAATAAAATGAAATGTTGCAGCTCAAGCAGATAGGCATAAAAGAAAGTGGAGAGCTCGTCTTCCTTCATCTTCCCTCCCTCTCTATGGGTCCTCAGTGAGCTGGATGATGCCGCACACAAGAGGAGAACAGTCCACTTTACTGAGCACTTTTTCAAAAGTTAGTTCCACCTGGAAACATGCTCAAAGATGCATCCAAGAATAATGTGTATTCACTTATCCGAGCATTCTAATATTCTGTCAATTTAACACAAAATATTAACTATCATACGGACCTTTACAATCTATAAACTATGAACTTAAAATTTATGTGCTCATTCCATTTGATGTGGACATGGTCTTGAGCATATTTGTTAACAAAATAATGATAAACTATGAGTAATTTCTGGTAGAAAGATCACCCACATTTGTAAGATAGATATCTTTGTGTAGTGATATGGTGTGCATTCTTTCATAGTTTAGTCATTAGAAAAGAACGAGACTGAACTTTTTAAGCCATTCAGTTTGGTGGTGATCATTCTAATTGTGCCTTGTACTTTCCCCACATCCATGCCCTGTGCTCCTGTTCTCACAGCTCTACGCCATCCCTTGGTTTCTCACCATGTTTACTCGTAAGTATCATTCTTACCTTAGCACCAGCAAAAGCATAGCCTCATTCTTTCTCAGAATTTTAAACTTAACGAGAATACTAAGCAAATGTAATATGCATCTTTATAAAATTATACCATGATATGGTTTATAGACAAAAATTTCAAGTGTTCTAGCCTTAAATATTAAAAAGAATGTTGCAAAGGACTAAAATCTATTTTGCATGTCTTATACAACTGTACTTCTTTTTAAGGAGAGAATTTAACATCAGCTATTTGAGGACAGTTTTCAGCTAAGTTGGCTTGCTTAATAGCTGATGTTCTCTACTAACTCATGGTTCTATTTCCTAAACTGGGAATCCTCTAGCAATTAATCATATTATATATGTAATGATTTAATCAGTTCCTATGTGAATATAGTAAAAATGGACAGCCATGTTTAAATGCAATACACATGATAAGTGTAACAACATTTGAAATAGTCTTCATGCTTTTGTCTAGAAATATATTCACAGTATTATTAAATTAGAATAAAGTTACATTTTTTAATTAATAGAATTTTTGGTGGAAATTTAATAAAGCAATTGTTTTTAATACATAATAGAAATGTTATTTTATTTTACATAAAGAAATTCTAAAGTTTATATGGAGATATAAATGTGTGTAGATAATGTTATTAAAAATTCTGGGGAAAATTGTGTATAAAATACACCAATTGTTAGTGGGAGTCAGAAAATCTAATCTCTGACCAATCTAATACCAGTTTATTAAAGCACCTTAGAAAGCCTTAAATTAATGGAATCAGGGCTAGAGATTTGGCTGAGCAGATAAGAAAACTTACTGCTTTTATAGAGAACTAGAGTTTGATTCCCAACACCTATATTGGGTGACTCAGAGCTACTTGTAACTCAAGTTCCAAGAGTCCTGATATTTTTATAGACATATGTGAGTGTGTGCCTACATACACACACACACATGCAAACACACACATAAATACGGTCAAGCATTTTATCAGCCAGTTTAACACAATAGCTCTTAAATAACAAGCTTGTTTTAAAGTAATAATAGTAGTATATCTAATAATGCAGCTGTTAGTATTTCTGAAAAAATTGGGTTTTGTTTAAGTACATTTTTAAAAACTCTTCCCATAGATGTATTTCCACTGCACAAAATTTTCCACCTTTGGGATACATTACTACTTGGAAATTCCTCTTTCCCGTTCTGTATTGGAGTAGCCATCCTCCAGCAGCTGCGGGACCGGCTTTTGGCTAATGGCTTCAATGAATGCATCCTTCTTTTCTCTGACTTACCAGGTATGTGTGTAAGTGAAAGAATCACTAAGTCCAATTTTGACCGTATATCATGTGCTATCTTAACCATGTGAGAAAAATCATTCCATCTTACAGATCTCTTCTGGTTGGACCCTATTTTCATTGTCAGCATAATCAGGGCTTTTTGCTAGCCCAGGAATGCAGAAATTAATGTGCATTATACTAAGCCACTATGGATTATTTCCATCACAGTATTGCCACCAGAAGGGTAAAAGTTCATGGCTATAGGAGTAACATTTTTACCCTTTGCTTAGGACTCAGCCATTTATCTTCAGCTGATGGAGAGTAAATAAAGGCCGCTCAGGAAGGTGTTTGAGAATGTGTTTATATAAGGATGGTAATTCACAGGGAACTTTGCTCCCTCTTAGCCACAGCTGCTTGGTAACAACTTGACAGTTTAAGAAAAGGAAACACAGCCTCCCTCTTCTCCCTTATCCCTCTCCCCTAGTCCTCAGAAAGGAAGAGCCTTCTTTTCCCCTACCAATTTACCCCAGACTATCAGTCTCTTTAGGACTGCCTGCATCCTTTTTCTCTGTGACTTGGCAAGGCCACCCCATCAGGGGCCAGTGATCAAAGTGCAGGCAACAGAATCCATGTCAGAGACAGCCCATGCTCCTCTTACTATAGAACACACATGGAGACTGAACTGCCAAGGGCTACATCTGAGAAGGGGATCTAGGTCCTTTCTGTGGTTGGTGTACCACTCTCTGCAGGACCCCTTGGCCCCCCTGTTAGCCCTGTTGGTCTCCTTGTGGAACTCCTGTGTCCTCCAAATCCTTCTATCCCTCCACTCTTCCATAAGACTCCCTGTCATAGCTGAGTATTCCATTGTGTAAATATACCACAATTTCTGTATCCATTCTCTGATTGAGGGACATCTAGGTTTTTTCTAGATTCTGGCTATTATGAATAAAGCTGCTATAAACATAGTTGAGCAAATGTCCTTGTTGAATGGTGAAGAATATTTGGGTATATGCCCAGAGTGGTATAGCTGGGTCGTGAGGTAGACCTACTCTCAATTTGCTGAGATAGTGCCAGATTGATTTCCAAAGTGGTTGTATAAGTTTGCACTCCCACCAACGATGAAGGAGTGTTCCCCTTTCTCCCTGTCCTTACCAACATGTGCTGTCCCTTGAGTTTTTGATCTTAGGCCTTCTTATGGATTTAAGGTAGATTCTCAGTCGTTCTTGTCCTTGATGACTTTAAAGTCTTTTTTATATTTTGGATATTAGCCCTCTGTCAGATATAGGGTTGGGGAAACTCATTTCCCAGTCTGTAGGCTGTTGTTTTGTTCTATTGACAGTGTTCTTTACTTTCCAGAAGCTTTTCAGTTTCATAAGATCCCATTTATTAATTGTTGATCTTAAAGCCTATGCTGTTGGTGTTCTATTCAGGAAATTGCCTCCTGTGCCAGTGAGTTCAAGGCTGATATCCACTTTTTCTTTCAGCAGATTTAGTGTGTCTCATTTTATGTTGAGGTCTTTGATCCACTTCAGTTTTGTGCAGAATGATAAATAGGGATCTATTTAATTTTTTTACATGTAGACATCCACTTAGATCAGCACTATTTGTTGAAGATGCTTTCTTTTTCCCATTATATGGTTTTGGCTTCATTGTCAAAAATCAAATGTTCATAGGTGTGTGAGTTTCATCATAGCACTTTCATATATATGTATATATATTATATGTACATATATACACATATTATGATATATATCATAATTTTTATTATAGAGAGTAGAAGCTTAGCACCCAATAGCAGATATGTTTAGATAGACGAAGAAGGCCTTTCAACACTGTATTGATATAAAATTTGGTGGTATTTTTTAACCACATAAGTATAATGAAATTCTAAACCTTTATTTAGTCTCCCCACTTAGAAAATTCTAAACATTTGGCTTTTGTGTGTTCCTGAGATAGATTTTGATTGTATGCATACAGTTGCTGGAATACCTGTCAGATCGGTGGGGGGTGGGAGGGTTTGATTGGCAGGAGCCAGGAAACAGGTCAGACTCATCCAGGCCTATACTGCATCCTTCTTAAGTTTATGTTCTAGTATAAATGCTGGTGGATGCTAGTAATCAAAATCATGTATGTTATACTTTGATACTTCTAATGTTAGTTGATTCAGGTCTGATGTGCCATTATAAAGAAGGAAGGAAAGAACACAGGTGAGCTAAATAACAACTAACTTGTTAATTGCTCTTCAATATGCATTCATTGCTACCCTCCCAAAGCCATTGCCTAGTAGAAATAAATTCCAAATGTCCAATTATGATAACTATCAAAGAATGAGTATTAAACTCTTCATGATAACAAGATGATAGTTTTTATAATTAAGTGGCATATTTTTATCTTGTTACCTACTATACAGGAACATCAATAGCTTTATGTAGCATAGCATTAAAAAGGTTACTTTAGATTTACTTTCCATGTGATGAAATGCTAGTTTCTCACTTTGAAATCATAAAGTATAACATTATAGATGATGAACATTTAGTAGATGTTACCTGCTTATTTTAAGCCTCTTAAAAAGAAATCCTAGACATTTTATCATTTCTGTTCACTATTGGTCACCTTAATTGGATTACTTTTTTGTTGCTGTGAGAAAACACCATGACAAAGATAACTCATAGAAAAGTTTATTTGTGCTTATGATTCCAAAACATTACATTACACTCTGCCATGGTGGCAGAGTAGAGCCAGCAGGCGGCAGACATGGTTTCTGGTGCAGAAGCTCAGGCCTCACGTTTTGAATGGCAAAGGTGAAACAGAAAGCCCAACCTGAGAGTGGCTCCCTCACTAACCTCCCAAAGCCCATCCCCAGTGACTTACCTCCTCCAGAAGGGGCAAACCTCCTAAACCACCAACTGGGAACTAACTCTTCATAGCCTGTGACTATAGGGGACATTTTTAACTGCCATACTAATTAAGCCCTCGTGCTATTGAGAACACTGTTCAATTTAATTTATCTTGAAATTGATTAATCCCACACCCAGATAAATTATTTTGTTTGTTAAGATGTTATGTTATCTATGAAAATAAAAAAAAATCCATCGTCTAAGTCATAAGCCAAGCTCAATACCCTGTTCCTACATGCCAGTATGTGGGTAATAGGCACCATTATGCTTGAATGGGTAACAGAAATCACAGTGCCACATACTCAAGACCACTGCTCTACTTTTTGCCGCTTCTCTATCTTAATAGTTGCCACCCCACTCCTGAGCTAGATCTTATTATACAGCCTTTAAATAAATAAGCTCATATTTCAGAATAAATACAAATTTTATTTTTAACTGATGGATATTTTAACTGGTAAAGGTGTTTTTGAAGAACTGGGTAGGTAGCTCAGAGATAGAGCACTTGCGTAGAACTCACAAAGCTTAAGAATCAATCTATAACATTATGGAGTCAAGACTGTATGTATACTGCTACTGTTTCTGTTTTATTCATTTTAGAAGAAGAAACACAGTGGATTAGAAATAGAAAACAATCATCTTCATGCTTAATAGTAATTTGCTCATTTGAACTGATCCTTTCTGTGTGTATTTAGATCTGGAAGATAAGATATACAAATTCTCAATTTTACACTTCATCAGCCTATGTGATGCAGAGTTTGAGGGAATTTATTTCCTGAGAACAGAAGGCTTTGTATTAGAAGACAAAAGTTCATTTGGTCAAAACCATAAACCAATTTCAGTGTTTTAGCTAAAACAAATTTTCATTTATGAAACAAAAGTATCAGAAATACAAACATTAAATGCTTAACCAATGAGAAGATGACGTGGTATCAGGGCTGTGAAACTGAACAGCCACCAGTCGAATAGACAGTCCCCACATATGACTTTTCTAGTTTTCAGGACCTAATGTAGCAAAAGAACTATCAAAAATATATATATATAGCCGTTCTAAAGCCTTTGCCAAGTTAATATAGCCTTGCTGCAGTTATATGCCAAGTTTCAAAAGAATTTTAGGGATTTTCAACTACACAAATGAAAAGCTTCCAGTTTTCAATTAACAGATTTTTTCATTTAGGAATAAATATAAATGAAATAAGGTTACAATAATATATTTTTGGAAGACAGTTTCTCATGTTTCCCTACTGGTCAGGAGCTTCAAATATAGTTAAAGAAGATATTGAGTTCCTGATCTTCCTGTACTTCCCCAGTGCTAAGATTAGAAGTGTGGGCCTCCAGTGCCTACTTTCTATGATGCTAAGGTTTAACCCAGGATTCCCTACTAGGTAGGCAGGCACTCTTTTAAGTGAGCTACTAATGAGTTACAATAATATTTACATACACCAGGAAGTAAGCAATTCCACAAGTGCCTAAACCCTATAAATTGAGCTAAATATTAATGGTTATAGCTAATAGACTCCTAATATATGACTTCTTTGTTACTTTAAGTGACATAGAGTTACAAGAGAAAAAGGGGAAACTTTTCTAGATAGAAGATAGTCTTTTCTAGGACTGAAAAGAGCAACAACTTGTGAATATTTGCACAGGTTGTGCACTTTGAACCAGGGAGGTGTTGTCTAGAAAAGAAAAATAGAAAACACAGACCAAAAAACATCCATTATGGACCATGTGGGGAGTTTTTAAAAATACCTGTAGAGATATCTACTTTTCAATATCTTTAAAGCAAATTTAAAAAAAAAAATAGTATGGGGTACCAAAATGTGAATACTGTGTTGATACTCGTGGGGTGTTCTTGTTCCTCTCCATTCTCTTCCAGGAGCTTCAGCTTGAGTAAAGCTGAGCATCCTCATTGGAAATGCTCTGATAGTCCTCCATGATCTAAAGAAAGCAACTCGTTCCCCTGATTGTCCAATGACAGTGCTGCCTATAATGTTCCTGCTATTTCATCCAAAACTTTGAATCTATTAATTCACGTTTTCATCCTGTAACTTCATGGTATTTGTATATGTCTATTGCTATGAATGTTTTGGGATTTCAAAGGGATGGTCCTAAAAGAAGCCTTTT